TCTTTCTTAGTATAGATAAAATAATATGATATATTTACTTTTTATATTTAGTCAATAGATTAGAGCATTTTACAACCTTCCTCTCTCCTGAAACCTCCAACATCTCCCCAACCTCATTCTTCTTACTCTATACCTACATTTCCCCTCAAACATATCTACCCACCTACCAGCAACTGTACCCATACACTCTGCCTTCATGTTACCGCAGATCAAGGCTTCAAAGAGCAATCCTGGGACATCTAGAGGTTCCCAAGACCCTTTGATGTGGGGAGGAAGGTCTGTGAGGTCAAAACTATTTTCATAATGATACTAAAACATTATTTGCTTTTTTACGCATTTTCTCAAAAATGCACAGTGGAGCCCTGACCGGTTTGGCTCAGTGGATAGAGCATCAGCCTATGGACTGAAGGGTCCCAGGTTCGATTCCAGTCAAGGGCATGTACCTTGGTTCTGGGAACATCCCCAGTATGTGCAGGAGGCAGCTGATCGATGTTTCTCTCTCGATGTTTCTCTCTATCCCTCTCCCTTTCTTTTTGTAAAAAATCAACAAAATATATTTTTTTAAATGCACAGTGGAATTTTCCAAAGGTTATGTGATCAATGACATCGCAGTAGGTTCATCACAGAAGCAGATGAAAATAGAGCTGTCTTCTATTAATAAAATCGGATATTAAAGAGACTTACAAAATAATTTATAAAACAGTGCTACTCTTTTCACTGAATTTTGTTTGTTTGGGAAAATATAGTCATTTTTCAGAAAATTGTGTTATTTACATTAAAATGAAATGAGTTTATTATTGTTTTAAAAACTAATAAATATTTTAAATGTCAGATATAATTTCTAACATGGTATATTTAATAGATATAAACCACATAAAAACCCTTTCAGTTCTGAATAATTTTTAAAAATATTACGGTGTCCTTTTTAAAACCAGTTCCTCTACCTGTGCACTGAGCCCCACCCTCTCTCACACACTCCACAAATCCCCCTCTCTCACATACAGTCTGTTTTTCCCTCTCCACAGAATCACTCCCATTCACATACAAACATGCTATTTTTTTAATATATATATTATGTTGATTTTTTACAGAGAGGAAGAAAGAGGGATAGAGAGTCAGAAACATCAATGAGAGAGAAACATCGATTAGCTGTTTCTTGTACATCCCCTACTAGGGATGTGCCCGCAACCAAGGTACATACCATTGACGGAATCGAACCCGTGACTTTTCAGTCTGCAGGCCAACGCTCTATCCACTGAGCTAAACCGGTTTCGGCCAAACAAGCTATTTTAAAAACAGAACTCTTAACTCTTCTTCCACCAGCTACTACCGCATTTATTTTGTCCTGTGTATCAAGCTTCCTCAAAATATTTGTCTATCCTTCCATTCTCGAATTCCTCTCTTCCCCCTTCCCTCTTTAATCCACTCCCATTAGGTTTTCCCACCCTCCCATTCAACTGAAACTTTTTATGAAAGTCCTGAATGTCCCCTACATTGCTACATTCCCCAGTGGACAAAATGAATTATTCTGTCTTCATATACAGGTGAGTTTCACGTGCAACATGCACAAATTTCAGTTACTGCTGTTTAAGTTGCCCAGTCTCTCAACAACATGGTTCACATTTCAGTCACCACAGTTTATTAGCTGTGAGTAACTGCAACAAGTGCAAACTCACTGTCGGGTTGTCAGCCTACTAAATCACTACAGAAATAACAGGTGCACATCACGATCAGTGGCCATCACATCACTTCTTTTGGAGTCTGTTGGTGATTGGTCACTGGGCACCTGTTTTTCAGTTCACACTTTGCAATTGTGCAGCTAAGTTGCCTCCTTGTCTCTCAGTGTTAAATCCCATGATGTTTTACAAAACAGAACTGACCATCAAAGATGAAAATGCAGCAATGAAATAAAACATGATAATGCTAGAAGTATTATGTACTTAAATTATTACCTATAATAATAAAAATATGCAAATCAACTGAACAGCAGAACAACTGTCGGACGACCACGCTAGGACACACACCGACACCAGGCCAGCCAAGGTGGGTGCAACGTGATTGGTCAGGGGGCCCTGCCATCGCTCTGCAGAGAGAGGCCTAGGCCATCCAGCTGGAGGCTCTGTGGCAGATGGGCAGGACTAGCCAGCATTCACCCCACAGAGGGAGGCCCAGGCCAGGAAAGCGATCACACCCCATGCCTGTTGCCTGTAGAGGGAGGCAACCAGTGGTGGGGAAGACGGGGAGTGCCACACAGATCAGATGGCATGCAGTGGCAGCAGAGGGGGTGGGATCAGATGCTGGCAGGTGGAGCAAGGAAAGCCACAATATGCCCTGATCGCCACCAGGCCTAGGGATCTTACCCAAGGGGTCCCAGATTGTGAGAGGGCACAGGCCAGAGTGAGGGACACCCCCTCCCAGGCATGAATTTCATGCACCAGGCCTCTAGTCTATAAGAATACAAGCATAATATACTAATTAGACCAGATAGCCAGATGACCTTCTGGACAAAGCTGGGTCTGCGAGGACTAAGGCAAAGCACTGTGGCTCCAAGGGCCAAGCCCCTTGCACAAATTTCGTGCATTGGGCTTCTAGTCTGTATATATAAAAGCCTAAGCTACCGGATGACCAGCCAGTAGCTATAATGCACACTGACCACCAGGGGGCAGATGCCAGCCACTCAGCTGACAGGAGTCAGACAAAGGGCTGACAGTTGGCTAGCGCAGCTGCTGCGTGAGCCTCTCCCATGGACACTCCCCCTGCGCACCCGAGGAAGCTATGGCAGGCACAGTGGAGCCAGGATAAGCGTGAGCAGCACAGGGCCAGCCCAGGCTTGGGCCCCTCCCTGGCCTCCTGATGCTTTGCATGCTGCTTCACACACTACTTCGGGCATGTGGGATTGACGCAGACTGTGCGCTGGAACCCAAAAAGGTGGCGGGTAAGGCTGGGCTGTGGCGGCATAGAGGTCCACTGATCCTCGCAGGCCAAGCCAAGGGACCCCACCGGTGCACAAATCCAAGCATTGGGCCTCTAGTGACGTATAATAGAGTTATAGAGGAAACAGCTCACTGGGGCTGCTAACACTGTGCAGCCCAAGGAACTAAGTGACGGCCAACTTATTGACATAAGCAAGGAAAGTAATTGCAATGAAAAGGATGGACATATCCCAGATACCAGCAAAAAGATTCACATTAAAATAACTTTTGGAGATATTTCACTGTCAGAAAAGAGACTCTAAGAGATACTTCACAACATTGAAAGCAAAAATAATAAAATTTTGGAATCTAATCCAAATTTCAAAAGCAATGTGATAATTTCCCAAAGCATAGCAAAGATGTTCGTACTGTATCATAAATTATACAATGAGAAAAAGGCAAGCACTGTTCAAACTAATCTTGATAAGTTTTTTTTACAAAGAAATGGAACACTTTAATTCTCAATGTTGCCAATGTTTTAGATTATAATGTACTAAATAAAAAGTAGTTTTACTATTTTTTTATTTCCCTATATTTATAACCATCAGATTTTTCGTGTTTATACAATAATTTTGAAAGGTCACAGGACAATAGTAAATTTTCCACTGCTTATTAAGATTGTTTGCACAGTCATTTTTATAATCCCACACTGGTGTGCAAAGGAAAGTCTATATTTCCTTATTTGGTTTCCAGAATACCACACCCACTTGGTTTTCTTTCTGCCTCACCAATTGTCCTACTGTTTCCTCTTCTCAACTCTGAGTGTTGGAGGATCTCAAGGACAGTCCTTGAAACTCTTCTTTAATTACATTGACTTCCTTACAGAGATTTCACTAAGTCCTGTGGCTTAAAAATGTTATCTATATGCCAACACTTCCACATTTACATCTCTAGTCTAGAACTCTTTCCTAAACTCCTGATTTATACATCCACAGCCTATTTGGATATCTAATAACTATAGTAAACCTAGTATATCCAAAACTGAAATCTTCCCTTCCCAAAAAAACCCTCTTCTATCCCAAATGAATATCTTCTTCATCTCAGATGATGACAACTCTTCCTTCCAGTTGTTCAGGTCCAAAACTTTGCAGTCATCTTAACTACTCTCTCTCTTATATCCCCTATGCAATCTACCCTCAAAATGCATCCAAAATCAGACCATTTCTCCCACATTCATTGATACGACCCTGGTTCATGCACCATCATCACTTGCCTGGATAACAGCAACATTCTCTCCTAACATGTTCAGAACACAATAGCTCTTTAAGACATGTATCAAATCTTGCCATTTCTTCTATTCAGAACCCCACAATTGTTCTCCATTTCACTCAAAGAAAAGCCAGCATCTTTCCAAAGACCTAGTAGGTCCTACATGATCTAGCCCCTTGTTTATTTTCTAACTCCACCTTCAACTCCTCTCCTCTCACGCATTTCATTCCAGCCACTTCCACTGGCCTACTTCTTGCCAGTGTTTCTTGCATAGTCTTAAGCATGCTGCTATCTAGGGCCTTAGCACTCACCATTCCCTCTTTCCAGAACGCTTTTCCTCCAGATATCCACATGGCTAACTCCTTTACCTTCAAGTGACCTTCCCAAGATGTTACCTTCCCCAATCCATTGCAATCCAACCCCCTTCCAGAAACCCTTATCACCCTAATTTTGCCCCACTTTTCCATAGTATGCATCACCTAATATACTGTATAATTTACTTGTGCTGTTTATCTCCCACCCACAACTCCATGAAGGAACAACTTCTTTTCTAATTACTATGATAAAAAGGGCCTAGTGATAGTATTTGACCCATACGAGGCATTCAATAGTTATTTGCTAAGTAGATAAAGTTGGAAATGTTCTAAGTTACTACTTATTATTTTGGACCCAGAAAACCTGTGTATGATTATTAACTCCTACATGGTGAAGGAAATCTGAAAATCTAAAATGGGATTACCCATTCAATTTATCAAGAACTATTTCTTCAATATCTCACATGTGCCAGAGCCGAAATGCTCCCTAGATAATCAAACATACTTTTCCAACTCTGGTGCAGGAGCTTCCCGCTTTTGAATGTGGTTCTGAATCGACAAGAGTGCCTCTGGTGAATACTGGGCAGCATTGCTTTCCATATATTTCAAGACATAGTCGTCTGTATCCAGGATGGTGAACTGGTGGCCAAACACTAGGGAGAAGGCAGAGATACACTTCCCTTGATTATGCTTTTATCATGCAATCTGGAGTAAAATAATACTGATCCTTAAATGACAAATTCACAGACATGCACATGCACACATAGTGAACTTCCAAAGCTCTCTCAACTTATATGCAGTCATTTGTTCAGTGTTAGGAAGCTCAGGATCTATATTTATAGCCCTCAAAATGCAACCAATTTACAGTTTGAGAAGAAAGGCGACTAAGACATTGGACCACATATGTAAGGATATTAGCTTTGTCTCTGCTAGAATGCAGCCTACTTGTCTCTTACAAGGGTTATTTAATTCACTTGGCTAGTCGGAAAGGCTAACCTGGGTTTAGACTTACCGTCAATCTCAGCGCCAATGAAGAAGTCACTAGGGCTATAGTAGATGGGGTTTCCCACCGTAGAGTGTGGTTTGGTAACTTTTGTTCTGCCAAGGTACTTGCCCCCAATGATACCAGAATTTCGAACTGGAGGCTCAAAGATACTGATCATGTCAGTGGCTAGAAAATAAGAGAATACAAATCGACGGCCTTTGTCTTCTGGATAGGGGGATTTCTAGAAAAGTGAGGGAGAAAAAGATATTACTAAGGTACATGAACTACCTAGATGCCCCCAAATAAAATAGGTACAGGGATTAGGTTTATTATGTACATCTACTACATAAAGTATAATATAAATGAATAGTATAGGAGGGACTCTGGTGGCTAGGAAAGGACACCCCAACTCAACTGCAGTTGATTGTTGCCTCATGGGAATGTAGGCCCAACGTTGCTAGATCTTGCATGAGAAAATAGAAATCTAGAGTACTGTATAAAGCCCTGGTTTGAAAACACAGACCTCAATTCTTTCAAGCATTATACAGACCAACAAAGCACATAGGTCGCCACATTCGTCCATAAGCTGCCAGTTTGACATTAGGTTCAATTTCGTGGGTACTATGATGAGTTTAATTCTTTAAACAAATATATTTATATACATAATTTTAAAAGAAAATTTTAAAAGTGAGAAGCCATAGAGTTGAAAGTGATTCTGAAAAACTATCATGTAGACAAGACTTTTCCTAATTCAACTCGCTGAGAGTTATCACATAACCTTTAAGCCACAAATTCCAGATTGAACAAGCTTAAAAACAGACATGCTTATTCTTGACTAAAATCTTCTCATATCACACCTTTCGCAGATATCTTCTCATTCAGACCATGGACTTCTATAATAATTTCTCATTTACCGCAGAAAGACATTGGGTTTCCTCTTAGTAAAATAATTTCCGCATTCCCTAATCTAACAGTTTCCAAACATGTTTGATTGGATACCCCTATAAAATTAAAAAACAACAATCCTTCTAAGAAGAGAGTAATATGCAAATTGACCATACCTCCACTACAGCTACACCCACAAGCCATGCCCACCAGCCAATTAGGAGAAAATATGCAAATAAACCCAACCAAGATGGCTGCGGCCACAGAGAGCAGGAGGGAGGCTTGGGTTTCCCTGGCAAAGGAGGAAGCTTAGCTTTCCTCTGCCCTTGCCATGATAGGCCTCCACTCAATGCTACAAAGTTTCAATGATAGGAGATAAATAAATCCCAACAAAAATGGTGGCAGCCACAGAGCTGGAGAGAGCAGGAGGCTAGGGTTACCCCTGGTAATGGAGGAAGCCAAGCTTCTGCAGCCCTGGCCAGCCTAGGCCTCTACTTCAGGCTACAAAGTTTCAATTATAGAAGGTAAATAAATCCCAACAGAAATGGCTGCTGCCATGGAGTGAGCTGAAGGCTTGGCTCTGCTCCAGGCTACAAAGTTTCAATTGTAGAAGATAAATAAATCCCAGATACCAGGACTTCTGCTTGGGTCGACGAGGGACGTGGCCAGCCTGCAAACCACCAAAGGCCCCTCACCCAGGCTGCCCCACGCCCCAAGGGAACCCCCATCCTGATTTGGGACACCCTTCAGGGCAAACCATGGCCCCCACCCATGCACCAGGCCTCTATCCTATCTAATAAAAGAGTAATATGCAACTCCATGTGGACACAAAATGGCCAATACAAGATGGCCAGCAGGGGAGGGCAGTTGGGAGGAACCAGGCCTGCAAGGGAGGGCAGTTGTATGTGATCAGGCCAGCAGGGAAGGGCAGTTGGGAGGCACCAGGCCTGCAAGGGAGGGCAGTTGGTGGCAATCAAGCCTGCAGGGGAGGGCAGTTAGGGTTGACCAGGCTGGCAAAGGAGGGAAGTTGGGGTGACCAGGCCTGCAGGAAAGGACAGTTGGCAGGGATCTAGGCCTGCAGGGGAGAGCAGCTGGGGTGACCAGGCTTGCAGGGGAGGCAATTAGGGGCAAACAGGTAGGCAGGGGAGCAGTTATGCATCAATCAGGTTGGCAGGAAAGTGGTTAGGGGGTGATCAGGCTGGTAGGCAGAAGCGGTTAGAGGCAATCAGGAAGGCAGGCAGGCAAGCAGTTGGGAGCCAGTAGTCCTAGATTGTAGGAGGGATGTCCGACTGCCGGGATTGGGCTTAAACGGAGAATTGGACATTCCTTGAGGGGTCCCAGATTGGAGAAGGTGCAGGCTGGGCTGAGGGACAACCCCTGCCCCCGTGCATGTATTTCCTGCACCGGGCCTCTAGTATAGTTAATAAAAATCAAACCACATCACTCCTCTCTTCTCAAACTTCCAGAGACTTCCCATCACACTTAGAATAAAATACAAAGTTCTAAGCAGGGCCACAGGCAAGGCCATAGAAAGGGGGTTGGGAACTCATCCTTCAGAGCAGCAGTCACCAACTGGTGGTCCATGGACCACTGGGGGTCTGCGAGGTCCTAAAGATTGGCGACCACTGCTTCAGAGTGTTTGTGATGAGCCGAATGGATATGCCCTCTATTTTTTACCAGGCCAGGGAAAACCCTTTGAAAATTACCAATACCAGAATATCACTTCCTTTTTCCTTTACCCATAGGAAGGTACACACTGATTCTTTATTAATAACCCTATTGGTATCTTTTAAATTATTTTTTTACTTTGAATTCTAACACACAGATAAAGTGACCAAAATAACACAAAATATACAGTTTAAAAATTTTTCATGAAGTCAACACCCATGTAACCACCATCCAGGTCAAGGAACCTAGAAAGCACCCTCCCAATTAATATCCTATCCTTTCCCCACCCAAAAAGCCACTATCTTAAGTTTTATAATTTTCTTTAGTTTTACCACAAAACAGACATTCCTCAACAGTTCTGTTTCTCCTGTTTTTTTAAATCTTAATATAAAAATATATATATAATATGTATTATTTTGTGTCTGAATTCTTAGATTCAAAGTTAGGTTTATATGACTTATCCTTGTTGTTTGTAACTGTAGTTCATTAATTTTCATTATTGAACAAAATTCAAATCATTGTATAAACATGCCATAATTTATTTATCCATACTCCTATAGATGGACATCCAGGTTTATTTTTAGCAATCATGGATTATGCTATTAGGGATATTCTTATCTCTTAGTGTACATACTAGTATGTGTATTATCTTGGCACAATCTGGTATGTTTGATTAGGCCAAACTATTTTCCTAAGTGAGTGTGTCACTGATAGTATATTTCCTATTGTCCCATGTTGTCATCAACATATTAATCATCCTGATAAGTGAGAGCAATTTATTGTGGTTATAACTTGTAGTGCCATGAACATTAAAAAGGCTGAGCACCTTTTCACACATTTATTGGCCTTCTGGATATCCTCTACTGTAAAATGCCTGCTCAAGTTTCTTGCTTATTTTTAAAAATGACTTTAGATTGCCCATTAGATATTTTGGATGAGTCTTTAGTTGATTTATTCAATAACATCTTCTCCCACTCTGTCTTTTCCTTTTTTTACTTTCTTGGTGTTTTTTTGAGGAACATTAATGTCCATTTTAATGTAGTCAAATTTATCAGTTTTTGAAACCATTTTGGCTTTTTGTGTACCATTACCGAAATCTTTCCCTACTACAAGGGTAAAATTTTATTATTAAGAAATTTTGTTGCTTTGCCTTTAACATTTAAATCTTAAATTCACCCAGAATCGATCTCTATATTTGGTCTGAGGTGAGTCACATTTTCTGTTTTTCCAAATATCTAATTGTTCTAATTTATTAAAAAAGCCTTCCGTTCCTAATCCCTCAGCAGTGCCCTTCATCATGTATCTAAATGTGTGCAGGTCAGTTTCTGAACTCTCGGATCCAGCAGTCGCCAACCTTTCAGACCTCACGGACCAAAAGTGGTCCGTTGACCATCGGTTGGCAACCGCTGCTAATCTATTCCATTGGCTTAATTATCTATCTTTGCACAAATACTCTATAGTCTTAATTACTTTATATGACTTTTTAATATATGTTATATTTTGTTAATCCACCAATCTTATTCTCCAAGAATATTTTAACCATTATTCTTGGAAGTGCTTTACATCTCCACATAAATAATGGGATCAGTTTGTCAACCTGCAAAAATTAAAAACCATTTGGGATTTTGATTGTAATTGCTTTGAAACCATAAATCAATTTGGGGCAAACATATTTATAGTACTAAATTTTCTAACTAGTAACAGTACCTCCAAGTCTGCCTGTAGTTTGAAAAATCAACTGGCCTACCCTTCCCCATTCCCAATTCCTATTCCCAGAAGTAACTTACTTCAATTTCTAATATTTATGTGCATAGTTCTAAATAAAATGTTTATATTTCTACATTTTTTCATTTTTGAAGACATTATCCTTTGAATTCCTATCAGTAATTTGCCTCAGGGAATTCAGGCCATGAGTGGAATATTCAGAATTTAAATTTATGTCTGTCTCCAGACCTATGTTCTCAACCACTAGCCATATGACCTCTCAAAGGCAACATCTAGTTAACTGATATCAATAAATGAGCCCCTTTGTTATATTTAAGGACTATAAAATATATCAAGCTAGATATGACAGGTAATGCTAAAAATTAGTAAGAGGTGGTCCCTACCCTCAAGGAAATCAGAATACCCTGGAAAGGCACACAGACACATAAATAAATTAAATATAAATCAGGCTTTCATAACTACTTAATTAAAAATGCAAAAAGGTCTATAGTATTAATTACTTATAGTCAAAATTTGAAGGGCAGAGAGAAAGATTAATGATCTAAGAAAAGATTTTTGTGGGAGACTGGCCTTGAGCTAGGTCTTGGTTTAGGGACACCATACTTAACAGTATCCAACATGCGTCAAGGCATGGTCCTAAGACAGACAGAATCTTAGTATATAAAAATTATCCTCACCAATGAAGCCAAAAAACGAAGCACCTTGTTCTCATTCATCAGCATTTTAATAATATCTTTTCTCGGAGCTTTTGGAATGAGAACAAAACAATTCTGAGCAGAATCTTCGACTGGTCCAAAACCATTATAGGGAGGTAATTCCTGAAGAAATAGAGAAGCAAGCAGATGCTATTTGTATTAAAAATTATAAAGTAACTAAGTTTCTTTGAAAAATCTAGAAAACATTTAACAGATATTTCAATATTCACAAATGTAGTCAGAAAAAGTAACACATCGCATATTCCATTCCTCTTATTATAGACTAGAGTGTGTAGGTCAGAATGAAATCTGTGCAAGAGTAGGCCTTCCTTCCCCTGGCTGCAGGCACCGTCTTCCCTCTGGCACCCGGGACCCGGGCTACCCTTCCACTGTCAGGCACCTGGGAGTCAGGCTTCACTTGGAGCCCTGGCTTTGTCTGGAAGGTTGTCTGGAAGGACGTCTGGTCTAATTAGCATATTATGCTTTTATTATTAGAGATTTTTTTGTTAATTCTCACCTGAGAATATGTTTTCCATTGCCTCACAGAAAGAGTGGAAGAGAAGAAGGAACTGAGGAGAGAGGCAAGAGAGAGGGGGAGAGAGAAACATTGATGTGAGAAAGACATATAACCAGTTGCCTCCTGCTCATTCCCTAACCCAAGGCAGGGAGCAAACCCACAAACCAGGTACATGCCCTTGACTGGGAATCGAACCCACGGCCTTTTGATGGGCAGGCCAATACTCTAACCACTGAGCTCACCAACCAGGGCTATTTATAGATTTTGTACCTTGATCAAAAGTATCCTGTTTCCCTGAAAATAGTGTTTTATATTAATTTTTGCTCCCAAAGATGCGCAAGGTTTTATTTTCCAGGGATGTCTTATTTTTCCATGAAGAAGAATATGGTACACATTTATTGTTAAATGAAAATAAAGGAAATTTATTACCTGTATATGGTATGGTAGTACGGTAGTTGTCAACACAAACCAGACAAACTCTGAATCCTACAGTATCAAGAATTTACTCATTTATTCAATGACAATCATGTCATCATCTTCTGGAACATCATCCTAACAATCCAATTCCTGAATTTCCTGGTGAATTTCTTGTGACTCCATTTCTTTCAGAATCAGTGGACCAAATCTCTCATGTTTAGCCTGGGGGGGGGGGGGGGCTTATTTTCAGGGGTGATGCCTTATATTTCACTCAGAAGGAAATCTGTAAGTAGGTCTTATTTTCAGAGGATGTCTTATTTTCGGGGAAACACAGTAACTGCTGATGCTACAAAGTAACTCTCAGGACTACAGTGAAACTACTGCTAATGTCCACTGACCCTTACCTGGCCCTACTCCCGAGCCCAATCCTGGCCCTCATGACCATCCTAGCATGACTTTGTTATCGGTGGAAGCGGGGTTGGGGGGAGTCCTTATCCCTACCTGTTGATCATGGAAGTGGAATTCTTATGATATCTCAAAAAAAAAAAAAATACTGAGATTCATATGGTAGAATGAGTGATTTTTATTTGTGTGGAATTACATCCCTAAATTTCCAAGGTCCCCTCTCCCTCACTCATGCCATAGAAGAAGTGTAGATTTGGTTATAGCAGGGCTAAAATCAGAGTCAGTGTCCAGAGTTTACATTCCATGTTGGCACAATCCAATACAGTATCAGGATAGCTTAATTTGTCTTTCCTGCTGCAATCCATCAGTCCATTGCATGCGGGGTTTTCAGGGCCACATGACTATGGAGGAAACAAGGGCAAAAGCAAAGAAGAGGAGCAAGAGTGCCCCCTGAGCCAAGAATCACAAGAGCAACATGAGAGCAAACTCCTTTAAGGGATTATGCAAACCCAAATTTTCATGGGCTTACATTAGCCAGATCCATTCTGTTCCCAGGTATGACTGACAGGTACCTTCTTTAGTCATCCCAACTTCTCTGTGCATGCATCTATCTCCCCTTTGTTGGACCCCTTCCCCCAGTGTTCTTCAGGTAATGGACCAGTGTTTCTCTAGAGAGTGTGAAATCACAGCTTCTTGGTTAAGCTTCCCAAATGGCCAAGCTTATCATTTCTGGCTTCCCCCTTTGCTCCATTTCCTACTATTAATAACTAGTTAATTATAACGGTATCAACTTGGTTCATTTTCCCCCTTTACTTCCACATTTCTAATAGTTTTATTACTTGAGTTTTGCCTCACAAAAGAGGGATGACAGCTGTACAGAGAACTCAGATTCTTTGTTCATACAGAACTCTCCTTTCCTAGTGAAGGAGCAAACTCCAAATCAATTTCATTGATGAGTAGTGTAGTACATAGGATGAGCTTACATTTCTCATTCAGGTTCCATGAAGAGCTGAAAGCATCACTTTAGGGTGTTAGGATTTGTCTGTCTCAAAGCTTAAGTAATTTTGAGGATGTTATCCACTCTCTCGTCAATATTAGCTAGAAAGCAGCAGAGTGTTTTTTTTTCTCTGATTCCTTGCTATGCTTTGTTAGCAAACTCAGCTTGTACCTTGCTTTTCATGTGTACTAGTAGATATCTTTCCCAAATCTTTTTTAAATTATGTTCAGGCACGTTTAACAAATTATTCTATAAGATCCCTGGTCCATCTGCAATAAGGTACTCCCTCAAAATTCAGTAACTCTGCCATGCTCATTCAAGGTGCAGTGATCGGGACACTGACCCTGCATTCCACTTGCCAGGGCTGCAGTGATGTGATAATCATGGCTGGACTATGACAGAGGATGTGGTGCGTGGGCAATGATCTAATTTGCTCCAAATGCAACATCACTGCTCAATGAAGATACAAGCTACCATGGACAGAGGGACCTGTGTGAGATGCCAAATATTATAATAGTAAGTTTTGCATTACTCTGGAGGCCAGGCAGAAATGCAGTGGTGGGATCTGAACTTGTTTTGCATCTGCAATAACACACAATGGCAGCAGCCTGGTTGGGGGATAGGGGTGGAGGTTGGGAGATTTTGAAATAAGGAGATACCTATAAGCCTCTGACTGCCTTCCTCTCAAATTCCTTTTGTTTTCAACAGGATTCTACTTGCTTTTCCTGAATTGCACCTCATTTGCTCTGCCTGGAATGAAGACCTTCCCTAAATATCAGCCCATATACCTGTAGTCCTGGCACTGGGCCACATATATGGAGGTAGTTTTAGTATACAGAGTGACTGAGATAGGCAAAACCAACAAACATCTACATAGTTCTTCACTTCTCTCTGCTCTCTAACCAAGTCTTTACTTTCTTTGGAAGATAGTTTAGGAGAAAAAAGATATTATGGTAATGAGAATGGAATAGGAGAAGTATTCTAGGGCTCAAAAGCTTTTATCAATTCAAAAGATGGATCAAAGGGCTCCAAAAGGTGCACCACTCTGTTACAATCCCTCCCCATTCTACCCCCTGCTTAGGTAAAGCTCACCCTTGCGCTTTGCAATATGACCTTGGGAAAGTCTCTTGGACTGCTATCTTACACTACACTTATCTGTAAACTAAAGTGGTGGAATAGTTTGCTTGATCAGAATCTAGATCTGTTCCCATGGTATTTTTTTCTTATATACTCTATCAAATGCTGCCAAAAATTTGAGGGTGAGGCACATTCAATGGTAGAGAGTGCTATCAGGAAAAAAACTGATAGCAAGAGGTATAGTCATCCTACCTAATAAAAGAAAACATGCAAATTGACTGCACCTTCACTACACCCAATCAGGGTGAGTATGCAAATTAACCCAACCAAGATGGCAGTTAATTTGCATATCAAGGCCAGAGTGAAGACTGAAGACACTGTAGAAAGAAGCCAAGCGCTGCAGAAGGGAGCAAAGATGCAGAGAAGCAAGCAAGCAGGACTGCGGAGAAGGGAGGGAAGCAGGCAGGTCAGTGACCGCAGCAGGAAGCCCTATTGCAGGAATCTTCCTGCAACGGGCTTCTAGTGTATTATAATGACAGAAATATGTTCTGAGAAAGGCGTCATCAGGTGATTTAAGTATCATGTGAACATCATAGGACACACTCACACAAATCTAGGAGGCATAGCCAACTACACACTTAAGCTATACGGCATAACCTAGTCTCCTGGCTACACACCTGCACAGCATGTTACTGTACTAAATACTATAGGCAAGTGTAACAGTGGTATTTCTGTATTTAAGCATTTCTAAACATGATAAGGTATAGTAAAAACATGCTATAAATATAAAAAATGGTTCACTTGTATGCAGCACTTACCAAGAACGGAGCTTGCAGGACTGGAAGTTGCTCTGGTTGAATCAGTGAGTGAGAGATGAGTGAATGTGAAGGCCTGCACATGACTGTACACTACTGTAGCCTTTTCAAACATAGACAATACTAAATTTATAAGAAAATATTTTTCTTCAGTAATTTCATCTTTACAGTAATGTCTTTAAAATTTTTTAAAAAACTTCAACTCTTCTATAATAAAACTTAGCTTAAAACACAAACATTGTCCAGCCGTAAAAAAATGTTTTTCTTTATATCCTTATTTTATAAGATTTCTCTATTTTTAAAATGTTTTCAAAAATTATTTTCTTGTTGTTGTTTTGTTAAAAATTAAGACACACCCGTCTAGGCCTACACGGGTCTGGACCTAAATATCACTGTCTTCCACTCTACATCTTGTCCCCTGGAAAGTCTTAAGGGACAGAAACACATATGGAGCTGTCCTCTCCTCTGATAGCAATGCCTTCTTCTGGAATACCTCCTGCAGGACCCACCTGAGGTTCTTCTTGAGGAGGTGTCACTGTTTTCAGAAACATGCCCATGATGGTTAGGCTTGTTTTTTTTACATCACAAATCTGCTTATAAACCAATAATGCATCATGAACATTCCTCTCTAATAATACAAACCTTTTGGTGTTGGGGGCCCATGTTTTCAAACTTTCTAAGGAGTTTGTTGAAGTCTGCAAAAGGTTCTGCTAAAACCTTCACTGTAAATTTTCTTGGGGCTCGTCTTTTTCTTCTCCTGCAGTTCCCTTTTCTCTAGCCTCTTCACCTATGTATTCTAGTTCCAGTTCCAACACCACTTAATTAGTTAATTTCTCAGGCTCCATCTCTAGGATCTCCTCAATGTCATCTCATCCACACTAAGGTTAAAGTCATTTGCCATCTCAACCATAGTCTAGATTTTTGCAACATCCTCATCCTTGATAAAACCTTTGAAGTCATGAGTGAATCTCCTGAATGTCTTCTTCCAGAGGCCATTCATATACTCCTTGGTGACATCACCCCAAGTTCAAGTAAAGTTCTTGATGTAGTCAAAATGTTGTAATCCCTCCAGAATTACAGCAGTGTCTTCCTCAGGAGCAGCAATAGCCTGGCTCAAGATCATCCTCAGGTAGTAGGCCTTAAAACCTGCTGTAACTCCTTGATCCACTGGATGCATCAAAAAGGGGGTTTTAGAGGGAGATACAGCACTTGGATATTAGGATGACGGTTACCAATAAAAGGAGAATGTTCAGGAGAAATATCAATAAGCAAAATCTTGAAGGGTATGTTATTGTCTAAACAGTACTCCATTTCACTGGCATAGCAATTCAGGAGGGCATTTTGGAAGGAGTTGGGTCACCCATGACTTCCAACTGTCCCTGTAGGAAACTGGCAATGTGTGCTTATTGATATGCTTGAATGCCAGATCACAAAGGTTTCGATTTGTAGCCAGCAACATTGCCTCCTCGCAAGACTGTTATTTTGTATTTAAAAGCCTCAGAACCTGGCACTGATTGGCCTCCTATGGAAGAAAGTCCATTCATGAATCTGTTTCCAGAATATGGAGGTTTCATCCATATTGAATATTTGCTCCACAATCAGCTCATCTAGAGTTTCCAAAAATTCTTCAGTTGCCTTCACATCAATACGTATAGAGTCAACACTCACTTTCACATTATGGAATGAATAACAATACTTGAATAATTTAAACCACCTAGAGCTAGTAATAAATTCACATCATAGCTGGGACCAGCCTTTTCTTTCAACATCAAAAACAAATCTTGTGCTGTGACTGTGAGCCTCATGGTGCCGAGAGGACACACTGCTGTGTCTCCTGTTCCATCTGTGTCATTACAAGTTTTTCCATATCTAACACAGGTCCTTCTCAAATTTTCAGTAGTCTCGTTACCTTTGTTCTTGCTCTTCAAGATTGTAGCTATGGTGGATTGGGACATGCCTGACTGGAAAGCTGTAGCCATCACTACTTGTCTACCTTTGTAGTCTTTAATCACTTTCATTTTGCACCCAATCAGTCACTGGCAATATTAGCAATGGATTTGTATGCTTAGGGACCACAATGAGCAAAACTACACAAGATTAATCACAAGAGAAAATGATACAGTCAAGACGCGGTAAACACAAAATGTATCAGGCTGCTGCTGACATAACACTGTTTTACAACAAACTTTATTTAAATAGGTAAAACAAGTACACTCTAAAATAACAATAAGAAGTTTAGTACATTGAATGCAGAAGCCAGTGACACAGTCATTTACTGTCATCAAACATCAAGTATCGTACATAACTGTATGTGCAATAATTTTAAATGGCTCAATTACACCAGTGTCACCACAAACACGTGAGTGATGCGTTGTGCTGTGACATTATGACGCCACTAGGGGACAGGAATTTGTCACCTCCATTATAATCTTACTAGAGGCCGATGCATAAAGTTTGTGCAAGGGGGTTGGCCTCCTAGCTGCAGCGGTGCCTCAGTCCTCGCAGCCCCAACTTCGTCTGGAAGGTCCTCCAGAATATCGTTCGGCTAATTAGCATATTGCGCTTTTATTATTATAGATGGATCCACTGTTGTACACGTGGTTCCCATGTTGACCCAAACATCATCATGTGACGTGTGACTGTATTATTACCTCCTACACTTGCTTCCAGAAGTTTTATTGCCCCTGGCATACACCAAACTCCAAATTCTTCTTTGTATTGTTTTTATGAAATGTTGGTTCTAAGAGGCTTGTTTAAGAGATCATTTATCTTCTGGGTTAGCAAAATACATACTAAATAGGTAGTCTTCTTCAGCCTACTTCAAGAGATATACTTTATACATACCTCTGATTTGCTGGGCACTGTGTTAGTTGCTAGGAGCACAAGATGTACAGAATATAGTCCCTGCCCTCAAGGAATTTATAGTCTAGTTGAAGAAATGCATAAGGAGATGTTTTAATGTAACAGATTAGTGCTAGTGGAGAGGCACAGAGCACCCCAGGAACACAGAGATGGCCAGCCCTGCCTGGAGCTTCAGAGATACTCTCTTGAAAGAGAAAAAGCCTATACTGAGCCTTGAAGAATAAGAAAGAGTCATGTGAAAAAAAATGATGGAAAAGTGGTTTAAGCAGCTAAAGTCCAGGGGAGTAAATCGGAATGTAGCACCTGCACAACTACAAAGAGCTCAGTGTAATGGAGGCTAAGTGCACACAGAGAGGTAGCCGGTAAAGGGCCTGGGCTGGAGCAACTCAATTCCATTCTGTTATGTCTTTTGAAAAGAAATAGCCCAGTGACATTATTTTACACACACAGTGGCAACTGAATGAGTAACAGGTCTGATCACCCTTCCTTATACATGGGCAAAAAAGAGGTTGCATGACTCGTTCATAATCCAAAGCAGTATAAAAACAATCATGCTTTCAGTCCATGATACTGTGCTACCTTAAAACTTCAGACACTTCTTGAATGTTTTGTATAATGTGTAATTTCAAATTGTGCAATTCTCACTTGAAACTCTAAAATATGTGGCTGAGCCACTCTGAAGGCTCAAGTTTCTCATTTTACTATCTCAGTGCATTAAAAGCACCATGAACTTACTCTCATCTCAGAGTGGACTTCTGTGGTGCTCTAAACTGAATTTTGTAGTTCAGTGTGATTCTAAGGAAAGCTATGTTACAATGAAAGAAAGTCATCTTCCAATATCTTCAGTTAATCAGTTTTTGCTTTACTGTCAACCAGGTTTTCAGTGAAAGGGTTTGATAAACGGGCAAGAAACAATGAAATGCCCTCAGGATCTGGAATGTAAAAAGATGTCTTTTTAAAAAATCTAGATGAAAAAAATATTATAAAAGTAATACAAGACGCGGTATAAAAGGAGAAATTAAAACCACACACAGATTTTTCTGGGTCAAGAAATATGTAACATTTTATTTTGAATAAATTAAAATGATGACAAACTGACTTCAGAAAGGTTTTTTTTTTCTTATTTATTTATCTATCATTTCTAAATATGTTGTTATTGATTTTACAGAGAGAGGGAGAGGGAGAAACAGAAACATCGATGAGAGAGAAACATGCAAGAGAAACATCGATGAGAGGGAAACATGCGAGAGAAACATTGATGGGCTGCCTCCTGCATGCCCCCTACTGGGGACTGAGCCTGAAACCTAGGTATGTGTCCTGACTGGGAATCAAACCAGTGATTGATTTGATTCCAAGTCAGGACACATGCCCAAATTTTGAGCTCAATCCTTTTGGTGCATGGAACAGCATTCAACCAACTGAGCCGCTCTGGCCAGGGCAGAAAGCTTTTTCTTATTGGTCCTCCTTTAACAGTACATAAAAATGCCCATTTCTTCACGCTCGGGCAAACATAAGCTATTGTGAATCTTTCAAAATCTTTCAAAAATAGATCCAAAACCTCATTATTTACATTCTATGTCTTTATCAATTACGTTCAGGGTCTTTTCATATGTACACTAGCCATATATATTTATTCTTTTGTGAACTGCTCTATTTTATATGCTTTGTCCAGTTTTGTTTTTGGTTTTTTGTTGCTTTTTTTTTTCTTTTCTTTTTTTTAAACTGGATATTCACTCCCCCCCCCCCCTTTTTTTCTTAAACTTTACATCAAAAGATTAATTCTCTCACTACACTCAGAACTAGCGTTCCATTACCTGTTTTACTGGAGGTTGTTCCTTCTTCCTTACATCAATACTTGGTAAATCAGAGAATCCAAACTTTTCTTTGAAATAGTGTCGAGTAAATGGATCACAATCGTAAATGAAGAAGGTTCTCCCGAGGATAGTGAGTGGCTTCCCAACGATGAAGTCTTTGGCAGTATACCATTCCAGCACCTCCTGATCAGAGATTTCCAGCACGCACTTAGGGAAGTCCTCTGACATAGAGAGCATGGAGAGAGGAAAGAAGGAATGAGGACAGGACACATAGCAGCAAGGCATTCTTGAGAACCTGAGAGATGCAGTGTTTGGCTCTGGTCAAGGGTCAGGGCCTCCTCTACATTTCCAGAAGAACACAGGCTGTGTACTTCCATCTACTGACCAGACACATAAGTAATAGCCCAAACGGCTTTTGTAAAGTCTCTCCCATGTTCAGTTCCAACTATCATTACAGGTCACTGATTTTAACAGAATTAATGTTCAGAAGAAATCATTACTGGAGAAAAAAAATAAATGTCCTTGTATAGAGTATTAGATCTAGAAGAAACCCAACGAATTATTAGTGATCACATAGAGCATGTACTAGGTACACTACAAGATACTGAGATTCTCTCTCTCTCTCTCTCTCTCTCTCTCTCTCTCTCTCTCTCTCTCTGTGTGTGTGTGTGTGTGTGTGTGTGTGTGTGTGTGTAAATATATAAAGGGCCAGATTCCATAATGTCCAAAATGACTGAAGGAACGACTGAATACCAGGCTGCATACACAGCAGGCTCAGGTGAGCAGGGACTAGCAAGCGGGCTGAACTGCTGACTTCTGGGGGGGGGGTTGGGAGGAAGAGAAGGGCAAGGCTGATCAGCAGCTGCCATGGCTGTTGGCAAAGCCCAGAGAGAGAAGCAGGGTCTGATCCTCAGCCTCCATGGCAGCTGCAGATCAGCCCTTGCATCTCCCCCTCCCCCCCTCCCCTGGGCTTTGCCAGCAGCTGTGCCTCTCTCTGGGGCAGCTGCTAATCAGCCCTGCCTCTCTGATCAGGCCCAGAGATGCTGACTGGCTTACAAACCAAGCAATCAGAACCAAATCTGGGTGAACTGTGAGAAGCCAATGGCTGCCTAGGAGGTGGAGCTTTTGACGCTGACTGGCATAGAAACCAACCAATCACAACCTAACCTGGGTGAACTGCAAAGACAGAATCTAAGGTGGGGGGTGAGGAGGGTTTTTAAAGGCAACAGCTATTTGGTGTAAGGTATAAGAAAGCAGTTCAAATTTTTAATGACCAGTTTGGCAGTATAGTGCATATGGCTGGCTATCAGTCCAGATATAGGGATTATGTATTTTTGTCTGCCAAGAGCATCTCCTCCTGCTGAAAAAGGCTCCACCCCCTACCCCCCACCCCATTTGAGCAATCCTATCCTATATATACTAATAAAAGGGTAATATGCTAATTAGACTAGGTCAACAGACCAACTTCTGGATATCTGACTTCCTTCTGAACAAAGTCATGGTGGTGAGGGCTGAGGCAGAGGCAGTTAGAGATGATCAGGCAGGCAGAGGCAGTTAGGGGCTATCAGACAGGCAGGCAGAGAGGTTAGGGGTGATCAGGTAGGCAGGCAGAAGGGTAAGGGGCAATCAGGCAGGTAGGAAAAGGCAGATAGGGGTGAGCAGGCAGGCAGGCAGGTAAGCAGTTAGAAGACAGCAGTCTCAGATTGTGAGAGGGATGTCCAACTGCCATTTTAGGCTCAATGCCACAGGGGAGTTCCCGATTAGAGAGGGTTTAGGCTGGGCTAAGGGAACTCCCACAACCTCCCCCCGTCCCCTTGCACAAATTTCATGCATCGGGCCACTAGTTAAATATATAAACAACATATATATCCTTGCTAAAGAAAACATTCTGTTTCGGGTGACAGATATTAACAATTACACAAATAAATGGCTTCATTTCGATTGTGATCCCTGCTATTGGGACAGTCTGACCTTGTCCTGTGATAGGAGGCAGAGACAGTAAGCAAGATGATTACCATGATCCCTACATTTGGGGAATCAACACATTTTTAAAATGTAAAATCAACCTTGCATTTTTGGAATAAATCCAATTTTGTCACACTGTTTTATGAAAACTAAGTGTTGAAAACCATAAGGTAGTCAATCAGTTCTGGTAAAGTACAACACTGCACAGCTTTAACCACAAAGCTTGGCCTTAGAACTTTGATCTCAGGAGGCAGGAGAAGTAGGCTGGTATTCTCTTGCTAATTGCTAAGATGGGAAAATAAAAAAGGAAGCTATAAAACACAGAAAGGCATGAATTCTAGCCCTTGATCATGCTAAAAGAAGGGCTGGTATTTTCCCAACCAGGAATCTTAAAAGCCCTTCCTCCCAGTGTACAGTGCCTAACCCTAGTAGATCCCTTTTAGTTACCCCAGTAAGTGATGGGTAGTGGGGAAACACAATTTGTGACTCCATGCATTTCCTTCAGTAAACAAGGTTCCAAGAGGTGAGTGTGTGTGTGTGTGTGTGTGTGTGTGTGTTCCAGCCATTTATCCTTATTTGCTCAACAATTATCTTTTTCATATAATGCTAGACTTATCTTACTGATATGATATTTAGGAATTCTGCACATATCTTCATGAGTGAGACTATAGTTCTTTTTTCTCATGGTGTCTTTAGTTTTTAAAAAATCAATGAATTATTTTTTTCTTTTCTACAAGTTTATATGAAGCTTGAAATTATATGTTCTTTAAATATTTGGCACCCAGCTCTGCCACAGAGCCTTCTTTAGTCTCCAGCTCACATCTCTTCTGAGCTCTGTCTACATAACATAACTAGTTATATAATCAGATAGTAATGGACACTTGTGTCACTGTTTAATGGCTTTGTGTACTAATGTGACCTGTTTCCCCAGTCACTAGAAGGAACTTAAGGACAGGGGTTCTAGGTCCGAAAGTTACATTTTCATTTTATCCTCCACAGCACATGAACTAGTTCCCATAGCAGACATGTAACTCTTGTTTAACTGAATTAAGTAAAAGTCATCCATTGGATAAATGCCTTTGAAAGTCAATTAACCATCAACTCTACACTCCTTCTAGTTAGAGGATTATTTACTTAGCTGATGGAAGCTTAGCTTTTCCTGTAATGCTGCATGACTAAAAATAACTTTAACAAAAACATTTGTTTCCCACCTCTTAAAAGAACCCTTCACATGTTAACATGCTGCCTCTCGTGTAACTGATGAAAACTTTGTTCCAATTTGGGAAGTTATAAAACAGCATGATTATTTTTATTAAATTGACTGGGGTGACATTGGTCAACAAGCACATATAGGTTTCATGTGTGGGTTTCTATGTTAAAAAAAAAATCTGATATTGCACCATGTGCCCATCACCCTAAGTCAAATCTTCTCTCACCTTATATTAGGACTTCTCTCCCCAGCCCCATCCCTCTGGCAACCACCACACTACTGTTTGTGTTCATAAGTTTCAGTTTTATATCCCATATATGAGTTAAATCATATGGTTCTTAGCTTTTTCTGATTGACTTATTTCACTTAGCGTAATGTTCTCAAGGTTTATCCTATTGTTGTAAATGGTGCAATTTCATCCTTTCTTATGGCTGAATAGTATTCCACTGTGCATATGTACCACATCTCCATCCAGTCCTCTAGCGCACAACACTTTGGTTGTTTCCATGTCTTGGGTTACTGTGAATAATGCTGCAATGAACATAGGGGTGCATATACCTTTGCAAATACATGATTTCGAGTTTTTTGGGTATATACCTAGGAGTGGGATTGCTGGGTCATATGGTAGCTCTATTCTTAATTTTTTGAGAAATCTCCAGATTGCTGTCCATAGCGGTGTACCAGTCTATAATTCCCACCAGCAGTGAGTGAGGGTTCCCTTTTTTTCCACAACCTCTCCAATACTTGCTGCTTGTCTTGTTGATAACGGCCATTCTAACAGGTGTGAGGTGGTATTTCATCATAGTTTTTATTTGAATTTCCCTAATTGCCAATGAGGTTCAGCATCTTTTCATATATCTTATATCAGGTGTATTTTCAGGTCCTCTGTCCACTTTTTATTGGATTGTTTATTTATTTGGTGTTGAGTTTTATGAGTTCTTTATATATTTTGGAAATTAAACTTTGTCAGAGCTACTATTTGCAACTATCATCTCCCATCTGGTTGGCTCTCTGTATGTTTTGTCAGTTTCTTTTGCTGGGCAGAAGCTTTTTACTTTGATATAGTCTCATTCGTTTATATTGCCTTTCCTCCCCTCTCCTTCAGGGTCAAGTTCATAAAATGTTCTCTACAACACAGGTCCATAAGTTTGGTACCTATATTTCTTCTTTGTAAATTATTGTTTCAGGTCTTATATTTAGGTCTTTGATCCATTTTGAATTAATTTTTGTACTTGGGGACAGAACAGGATGATTATATATTGAAAATTTATTGATAAAGCAGAGACAAGCGTGGAACCTGAGAGTTCAAGGAATTCAGTTTTAGTGACACTTTTTTTTCATGCTCCGCTGACATTTCTATTCTTTCTTTTAATTTACTGTAAATCTAACTTTATTAGTTCCAGATGGCAGAAATTTCAGGCTCATTTAAGCAATATGAAAGGCCAAAATTAGTACCTCAGTCTAATGTCTTAGGATTCTAAAAGGGCTGGATATATATATATATGGAGATTATATATAAATATATATGAATATGGTAGGCAGCAGCCAGACTCTATTGAACCAGGGCACAGATCGAGTTGTTGCTAGCACTGAATACAAATTGTGTTAGCAATCGTTCTCTCTCTTTTTTTTTTTTTTTGCAATCGTTCTCTTTTTTTTTTTTTTTTAAGAGATTTTAAATGTTAACTCTTAAAACAAGTTTACTCCCTTTTATTCTCTTCACCAATCTCATTCTCTTCTACCTCACATGCAACCATTCTAACGTGTAGCTTTTTTATTATAGTGTATTATGTATATTGTTTTGTGTATATTTTACTTTATGCAAACATTATTACATTATACATCTTTTTACTTTTTTTACACATCACTATGTTTTTAAGATGCACCTATTTGCTTTCTTGTACATTCTGTTTATTGCTTCTAACACTACATATTTATCAAGGTATACCTTCATCACATTTTGTTTATCCACTCTCCCAATGATAGAAATCTCCAACTCCTTACCCCCAAATAACACTGCATTCTTTTTTAAACACTGTGCAGGCCAAGAATTTAGCCTTCAGATGGCCACCTTGTTTATAACCTTTAAGACAAACCTCTTGCTCAATACCTGGAATTTCGTATCTCCTAGCTCTCGCAAAAAAAAATCAGTGAACATTTAGAGTTCTGTCAGCCATCCAACCAAGAGGTATGTCATTATATGCCACCAATATGGCATTTTTATAATAAAACATTCTTTTTAAAATATTTTTATTGACTTCAGAGAGTAAGGGAGACGGGGAGAGATTTAGAAACGTCAATGATGAGAGGAATCATTGCACATCCCCTGGGCATGTGCCCTGACTGGGAATCGAACCATGACCTCCTGGTTCATAGGTTGAATCTCATTTAACCACTGAGCCATGCACACCAGCCAGGCTAAGAGAACATTCTTAAACTACCAAGTCAATAACTAAAGCAAGCCTACGTATCGTAGAGAAATACTGATATAAAGCAGGGGCCACTTGCATTTTGTTGCGCCCTCACTTTCCAGTCCAGTAGATTACTTTACACCAGCAAAGAAAGAGCAAGCATTCAGAGTGGTACTACACTCTATAAGCCACAGAGTGGCACTACACTCTATAAGCACAGATGTGACTTTTCCAATCTTAAGTCATCCCACAGAGAAACTCTTTTTTGTCAAAGAGTTGAGGCAAGAAGCAAAGTCAGAAAAGCACATAAGAAAATGGAAAGCTATATCTGTGAATGAAAAAGCTTGTTTCAGAAATGCATAAAATCTGGCTAAGTTGCGTTAGTTCAGAAGCCTTGATCTCCCACACTTTCATGAATCTCCCACTGCTGTTTTGGTTTGATTTTCTGACTTGGATATCAGTCCTCCCCACCAGACCATTTCAGAGGGGAGTCTGGACCAAGGGGGCAAGTAAAGGACAGTAATTAAGGGAAAGCAGTTTTTAGTCCCTTTAAGAACACACCAAGAACCTCCTAAGTGTAAAGAGAAATGACCACACTGGTTTAGAAACTCCTCTAAGATCCAAAAAAAGGTCCAATTATCAGAAGATAAACCCAACCAAACGTACTTGAATTCACCAAAATCTTGGGCATGCGCTGGCGGTTCATCAGGACCGGGAAGGGATCACGCCCATCATTCCGTTCATGGATCTCTCGAATTTCTACTGTATCATCCATAAGATAGTAATGAATGATGTACTTCCGACATTCACCGAACATGCTGTCGGTATCATCCCAGATCGCATAGAATCGAAGAACCTTTGAGAAATCCAAAGTAGTGATTTAAATACAAAAAAATTTAAATACAAAAAAAAAAAAAAAGTGGAGAGTTTGGCTTAGCTACTTTGGCATTCATTTATCAGACAATAATGAAAAGATTAGCTAGAAAGACAATGAAGCAATCTCAAATGGTTAAAAAAAAATTTTTTTTTACTAAACATACAAAAACATCTGAAATTACACATCAGATGTCAACAGCTGGAAAATATTAATAGGCTTATAAACCTGTACTGAGAAAAAAATTCACTTTAATCCAAAAATATTAAGTTAGGGGAAGAGAAGCTGAATTAAAAGAGCAATGGCTCCTTTATACAGTTATTAATAAAGGTGCATGTGAAAGGTTTATATGTAATTAATATGGAAAGAATCTTCATTTACTTATCTTTTTTTTAGTTTAACACATATCTTCTAGTAGCAGTATCAACAACACAATCTTTAAATACAAAATAATAACAGATTTATGATTGCTATAAAGAACATCCGTAAAAGACTATGACAGTGCTAGGTAAAATTTCTGAACTAAAAGGAATACATTTCTGAAAGAAAAAAAGCAACAAAAAAGCATTGAGGGTGATTTTTCAGTTTTCTTTCCCTTCAGCAAAGGAAGATTGAAAACTCCTACACACCATGTCCACCAGGGGGAGCACAGGAAGGCTGGAACAGAGTTGGAAAATACCCAGAACATTCTGTACTCGCACATTAACATAAAACTTAACAAGAATAATCTCTAATGGAATGCTTCTGTGAAATTACTACTTGAACATTATGCAAAATAAATAATCCATTTAAGGTTTCCCAAAGGATTCTGTTGAGGTTAACTCACATTTGAGAAAGAAGTAGCCAGCTGGAAATATAAAGTGGAAAGAAGATATAGCTCAGGGATGCTCTAAGATTTAAGTTTGGTGGAAGTGATAAGACTTATTTTCACAGTCTTCTTTGGATCTCTATAAAACTTTGGTATTCCTAGCCCTCTAACTTTAGATAAATCCCCCAAAATAGCACTGTATCCAAATGGTTATATTACAGGTGTGATGTTTCAAAACACACACACACCAAAAGAGTTTGCTAATAATCACTTACACGTGTGGAAATGAGTTAACTTACCAAAGTGCATGAGTCACTTACTTGTTTGTCAAAGGTGAGAAACTGCTTGAGTTGATCAAAGTCCGATGGAGTGACATACTGATGAAGAGGCCGTTTCCGAAGTTCTGTGTAAGGATCGAGAGCCATCTTTCCAGGTGGATTTAATTCAATTCCTTGACTTTCCAAAAATTCCTAAATAATTCAAAATTAATACTGATCACCTTTCTTGAAGCTTCTTCAAGTATTAACTGATGGAATAAAAGTAAGTGTAATAATTTCTATACCGGTGCCAGGGTTAACCATTAATTTTCAGCTTGAGCATGTCTTCACAGTACTGAGCCTCCGATCGACCCAACTCAATAATGCAGACAATAACTGATTGTTACCTTAAGTGTTCTGTATTATAAAAATGATGGGCAATATGATAAGCTCAAAATATAACTTCAGATCAATGGAATTTAGTTAGGTGCCTGAGCAGAGTAAGGATTACTTACATACACATAACTATGGATTACCTAACCATAGTTTCAAACAACATGTAATTCATATCAGGTATAGGGACAAACCGTACAACGGCAAAGTCTCTTTACTGCCTCTTTTTCCTCACTTTGTGTATTTGTTGGTGATTTTGCTGGTTAAAATACTCCAATCTTAGTGCTGACATACTGTCTCATACTCTACATGAAAGGAGGCTGTGATATGTACTTAATGTTACTAAACTATACATCTAAAATTGTTAAAATGATAAATTTTATGTTATTTATATTTTACCACCATTTTTTTACAAGTCAGGCTGAAGGAAGAAAAAAATGTGTTAGATAACCTTCATTCAAGTCTTGAGTTTGATGTTAATGAATCAACAGTATATTTTAAATAAGGCATTCTAAAACAGAGACACATTAAACTAGGTTATGTATCTGACAGGTTGGTGAAAACGTTGTGACCAGAGATTTGTAGGAACCTCATCCTGTATTTCTCCTCAGAGCAATGGTGCAGTGTTTGCTAATGAAGTGTTTGTGGTAACTTTATAGGACAGAACTACCATGATTATTAAGAACTGACTGTAACTGGTTTAGATCAACTCAGTGATCAACCTTGCAAATGTTCAAATTGTCCATAGAGACACAATTGTGAAAATAAATTTAATAACTCAAGTTGAAGTAACATTTTATAATTTCTCATTGCTGGAACAATTCTGAAACTGCCTAAGATTTAAAGGACCTAAAAACCTAAACAATGACAGAGCAAAACATGCTTGAAGGGGACATTATCTCAAAGATGGTCTAGCACCTCAACCTTCCATAGAATTTTTCTCTGTTGCTTTGAGATGACACAGATGCTCCTTTTCTTACTTCCTTGAGGTCTTTATTCACCTGTCACCTTATCTGTGAGGCTTTACCTCATATATATTATAGCAACTCAAACTTCCATCTCATTTACTCTGATTTAGTTTCTTCTAAGCTCTTATAAGCATCTGACACATTATAAATTTATTTATTGTTTCCTCCTCCAACCAGAATGTAATAACCTCTATAAGGGCAATTCTTTATACTTGGCACCTATGACAGTGCCTGGCACATGGCAGGCACTCGATAAGTATTTGCTAAATAAATTACTAAATTGAAAAGATAAATGAATGAATTCATAAGAGCTCAGTGCATGGTAAAAATTAATCTTATCTGGCATTAGGTAATATGAGATTAAAGGTATAAAATAATTGAGAAACTATATTTGCTTCTAGTGCTTTTATATATATATATATTTTTTTTTTTTTATTGATTTCAGAGATGAAAGGAGAGGAAGAAAAAGATAGAAACTTTAATGATGAGTGAGAATCACTGATCAGCTGCCTCCTGAAAAACTCCTATTGGGGATTGAGCCTAAAACCCAGGGTTCATAGGTTGATGTTCAACCACTGAGCCCCATGCATACATTTTGTGCTTTTAAAAAAGGGGGGCCTCTCTCTCTATGGTAAGAAAATCCATATTTATAAAATAGAGAAAGTAGAAGATTTTTGTCAATATAAAAAAAAGTGTTTTCCTTTAAAAATGGTTTTATTTTAGGAATTCTTTAGAAAGCAAGTGCCCCTATATATAGCAAGTATGATTTACAGAAAAAAATATATATAAATTACACAGAAAAATTTAGGCTCATATCTGCTAATAGAGATAGCACTATTTTGTGAACTCAAACTTCAGGTACATTGTCCAATGCACCTTTCCTATTTCTACCCCATCAAGGGTGAGACCTCCCCTACTCACTATTTGAACTGGCATGTAAATTGGTTTCTTATCAAAGGATTCAGCTATGATGAAAGTTTAATTTTATTTGAATGGCTATGTATCAATATCATTGTGAAAAAACGATATCACTGCATAGTTTTGGCACATATGCGAATACCAAATCAACCTATATAATAACCCATACAAGGCAGATCTTATCTAATAAGTGATATGTATTCTTCCATAAATTAGAATGCCTCAGAGACCAGAACTTCCAAAAATATATACTATACCTTTGTGAATCCATCACACTCAACAATGTGGAAAGTTTTGCCATAAATTGTAATGTTTATTCCTCGGTTTAGGTCTTTCCAATGGTAATGGTCTCCCTGGTCATTCTTGGGTAAGCGCTGACGTTTGATTAGCTTGCCTTGAGGGATCCCAGAGTTTTCCACCAGAGGCTCTATGACTGACATGCTGTCATCTTCCAGGTAGTAGTAAATGTGCACCTGACGGATCCGATAGTGTTCCTCAGTGGACATAGAAACATCTTCTTGAAAATAGGCATCAAACTTCAGTACCTATAACACATAAGGGAAGAAAAAATGTCAAGTACTCTCCTGTAAAGAGAAATCACTCAAGACAGATTTCAATATTCACCACTCCTATCTACTAAATCAAAGATTGCTAAATTATGGTCTATGATTTATATACACCCGTCACCTGCTCTTGTATAAAAACTATTTTTTTTACATATTTAGGTGATTAAAAATCAATAGAATAAAATCTCATAACACATAGTAATTATATGAAATTAAAATTTCAATACTTATAAAGTAATTACACAAATAATTAACCCTTATTTGCTAATGGCTGGTTTCCCATTACAAGGGCAGAGTTATGAGTACCGTAGTTGTGATCAAGAGACCATTTGGGCTGTGCTATGGTCTGAATTGTGTGTCTCCCCTCCCAAATTTATACTGAAGCCCTAACCCTCAATGTGACTATATTGGGAGATAGAGTCTTTACAATTTAATTAAGTTTAAATTAGGTCCTAAGGGTAGGGGCACTAATCCAATGGAAATAACATCATTCTTCCCTGCCCCCCCTGTCCTCTTGCCCCACGGAGGAAAAGCCACTTTGAGGACAAAGCAAGAAGGCAGCTGTCTGCAAGTCAGGAAGAGAGCCCCCATCAGAAACCAAATCAGTAGGAAGCTTGATCTTGGTCTGCTAGCCCCTAGAACAGTGAGGAAATAAAGTTCTATTGTGTAAGCTATCTGTCTGTTATTTTATTATAGCAGCTCAAGCAAACCAAGATACTGCAAAACCCAAAATATTTTCTATGGGCCCATAAAGAGGTTTCTAACTTCTGCTCTAAGTGCTCAAACTATGTATAGCCTATTTCTAATGTGTTCCTAGATAAGATGGTTTAAAGACCTTAACTGTACTAGCTGCACGTCCATGGCAAAAACCTCTCTAAACATTTTTGGAAAGAGTAAAAAATTTGGACAAGATTAAGACTTTTTATTTCAAAATTAAAATGAAGGCTCAAGTCCATTTCTTTAGAAGTGGATCCCCTATATATGTAAACTAAAAACATATTTAGTATAAGAAGGTTTATATGAATAACTCTCAAATCACCAATCCACCACAGAATCCCCCATGATTGGCATGTAAATTTTACTCAGAAATATATATGATAGAGCAAACCCTATGTCCTCTGGAGAGCACCAGTATTGGTGTGAAGTCAAAATGGCATGTCTATTGTACATTTAAAATATGTAAAAATATTAGAAAAACTCTGTGTTGGCAGGCTTTGGGATGAATTTTATAAATATGTTATTCTGTTTCTTTTTTTTTCAATATCTTTTTATTAATTTTAGAGAGGAAGGCAGAGTGAGAGAGATAGAAACTTCAATGAGAGAATGATTGGTAGGCTGCTTCCTGCACACTCTATACTGGGATTCAAGCCTGCATGTGCCCTAACCTGGAATCAAACCATGACTTTCTGGTTTGTAAGTTGATGCTCAATCACTGAGCCGCGGTGGCTAGGCTATTCTGTTTCTATTTTTAATATTTCTTTTCAGGGAGACAAAATATTAGAATGATGTTTTTGAGAGAAACCAAGATGGTGACATAGGTAAACACCACAGGAAGAATGGCTGAGTGGAAATTCTACAACTAGAAGAAAAGAGAAAAGCATACTAAAACTCAGAGAACTGCAGAAGGCAGAGGTATTGAGGCATGCACGCGGAGAGGTCTGGCAACTGAGTACACAGCTGGCTTTCTCAATTGGGGCGGTGACAAAAGCTCCCAACGGTGCTGAATTACAGGTCCAGGTGAGACTCTGGGGTCCCAGACTCTTATGGGAAGCAACTTTTTCTTTCTCAGGAAAGAGAAAAACTCACTGAGACTCAGAGGAATTGCAGAAGGCAGAGGTACCGAGGTGCACACGTGGAGAGGGCTGGCAAGTGTATACGCAGCAGACTTTCTCAATCGGTCTTTCTCAAGTAGTAGGGAAACAAAAGTTCCCAATGGCTTTAAACTCCAGTTCCAAGAAAGACTCTGGGGACCCAGACTCATTCGGGGAGAAACTGGACTGTCTGGCAGTAGGTGGATCTTGAGGGCAGCTTTTTCTCAGAAGTGCTTCCAGGACATTAAGACCAAGGGGCCTCTTAGGGCAGGGCTGACGGGAAGCCTTTTCTGTCTGCTCTGCCCTGAGGCTCCACCCCCTCCAAGCTAAGCACAGAGGCTTTTGTAAGTCTTGTCTTATAAGGGTGTCTCCAGCACAGAAATCTCCCATCAGAGATACAGCTGATCCTCACAGCCAATTGGCCTAGAGGTCAATTTCTCCCAGTGATACCAACAACAATCAAGGCTTAACTATAACAAGGCTGTGCACACAGCCCATAAAGGGGTGCACAAAGAGTGTCCACCTCAGGTAACTCGGGAGGCTGAGCCACTGGGCTATATAGGACACCTATATACAAAGCCACTCTATCAGCTCAGGGAAGCAGCCAAAATGCGGAGTAAAAGAAACAGGTTACAAATTTAAAAAATGGATGAAAGCAAACAACTGGATATAGAGTTCAAAACCATGATTATAAGTTTTTTCAAGAATTTTCGAGAAAAAGCTGGTAAATTTAGCTAGACCCTCGAGGATGTGAAAAAGGACAAAAGGACCAACTAGAAATTAAGCATACAGTGACTGAAATAAAAAAAATACCGTTATTTACTAGAACACAGTTGTGTTCTAGTAAAAAGCCTGCTCAGATTGGCCAGAATCAGAGAGGCGGTCTATTATAAAAAGAACTGGAGTTGCCTCGGAAGTGGAGGGTAGTCTTATACAGCGAATATAGGCCTAAACCTATGTTTTAACTGTAAAATTAGGGGGTCGTCTTATATGCCGGAAAATACAGTAATAATATACAGAGATCCAATAGCAGACTAGAGGATCACAAGAATCAAGTCAAAGATTTGAAATACAAAGTAAAAAACAACCAACCAGAAAAGCAAAAAGAATCCCAAAATTTGAAGATAGTGTAAGGAGCCTCTGGGACTTCAAGAGTACTAAAATCTGAATTATGGGGGTGCCAGAAGAAGAGAGAGAACAAGATACTGAAAACCTATTTGAAGAAATAATGACCAAAAACTTTCCCACCTGGTGAAAGAAATAGATTTACAAGTCCAGGAAGTGCAAAGAACCCCAAACAAAGGGAATCCAAAGAAAACCTCACCAAGACACATCATAATTAAAATGCCAAGAGCAGGAAGAGGAGAAATAACAACAGACCCCAAAGAAATACAACGGATTATTTAAGAAATACTATGAACAACTCTATTCTAACAAACTAGAGAACTTGGAGGAAATGGACACATTCCTAGAAAAACACAACCTTCCAAAACTTCTTTAGGAAGATTCTAAAAATCTCAATAGGCTGATAAATATGGAAGAAATTGAAGCAGTCATCAAAAAGCTCCCAGCAAACAAAAGCTTGCGGCCAGATGGCTTCACAGGGGAGTTTTACCAAACATTCAAGTAAGAACTAAAATCTATCCTCCTCAAACTATTCCAGAAAATTCAAGAGGAAGGAACACTTCCAAGCTCCTTCTATGAAGCCAGCATCACCCTAATACCAAAACCAGATAAAGACAACACAATGAAAAGAGAATTACAGACCAATATCCCTCATGAACATAGATGCCAAAATCTTCAACAAAATTCTAGCAAATCGGATCCAGCAATACTATAGAAAGGTCGTACACCTGACCAAGCAGGGTTTATACCAGGAATGCAAGATGGTACAATATTCATAAATCAATAAACATGATACAACACATAAATAAATTGAGAGATAAAAACCACATAGTTATATCAATTGATGTAGAAAAAGTATTTGATAAAATCCAACACCCTTCTTGATAAAAACTCTCAAAAAATGGGAATAGAAGGACCATACTTCAACATAATAAAAGCCATATATGACACACCCAAAGCCAACATCATACTCAATGGGCAAAAACTAAAACCATTTCTCCTAAAAACAGGAACAAGACAGGGATGCCCACTCCTTTTCAACATAGTGTTGGAAGTACATGCCATTGCAGTCAGACAAGAAGAAATAAAAGGCATCCAAATTGGAAAAGGAGAAGCAAAACTGTCCTTATTTGCAGATGACATGACACTGTACATAGAAAACACTAAAGACTTCATCAAAAAATTATTAGACTTAATAAATGAATTTAGGAATGTAGCAGGATACAAAATTAATGCCAAGAAATCTATGACATTTCTATACATCAATAATGAATTTACAGGAAGAGAGGCTAAAAAAGTAATCCCATTTACCATCACACCAAAAAAAATTAAGATACCTAGGAATAAACTTAACTAAAGAGGTAAAAGACCTATATGCAGAAAACCACAAGACACTGAAAAATAAAAAGATAGAAGAAGACATAAACAGAGGAAAGAACATACCATGTTCATGGATTGGTAGAATCAGCATCATCAAAATGTCCATACTACCCAAAGCAATTTATAAATTCGAGCATTTCCCATTAAAATATCAACGGCAGCCAAAACCAGTTTGGCTCAGTGGATACAGCATCGGTCTGTGGACCGAAAGGTCCCAGGTTCGATTCTGGTCAAGAGCATGTACCTTGGTTGCAGGCACATCCCCAGTAGGGGGTGTGCAGGAGTCAGCTGATCAATGTTTCTCCCTCATTGATGTTTCTGACTCTCTATCCCTCTCTCTTCCTCTCTGTAAAAAAAAACCAATAAAATATATTTTAAAATAAATAAATAAATATAAAATAAAATATCAACGGCATATTTCACAGGCCTAGAACGAACTTTCTAAAAATTCATCTTAAATAAAAAAGACACCAAATAGCTACAGTAATCCTGAGAAAGAAGAACAAAGTAGGTGGAATCTCAATACCAGATATCAAGCTGTATTACAAAGCCACTGTTCTCAAAACTGCCTGATATTGGCACAAGAAAAGACATATAGATCAATGGAATAGAATAGAGAACCCAGGAATCGACCCAAATCACTATGCTCAATATTTGACAAAG